AACAGCTAATTTTTTTGTGCTTTTATTAGATACAGGGTTTTGCCATGTTACCCAGGCTGGTCTCAAACTCCTGGGCTCAAGAGATCTGCCCACCTTGGCTTCCCAAAATGTTGGGATTACAGGTGTGAGCCACCGTGCATGGCCCAAAGTCAACTTCTTAAATATGAATTAGGTAGCCCTCCCTACTTAATATCCTCCAATGGCTGGGTATGGTGGCTTTCACATGTAGTCCCAGTTACTCAGGAGGCTGAGGCAGGAGGATCCCTTGAGCCCAGGAGTTCATGACCAGCTTGGGCAACATAGAGAGATCCTGTCTCTTGAAATATAATTCCTCCGGCCAGGCACGGTGGCTCACGCCTGTAATCCCAGCACTTTGGAAGGCTGAGGAGGGCGGATCACAAGGTCAGGAGTTTGAGAAGAGCCTGGACAATATGGTAAAATCCCGTCTCTACTAAAAATACAAAACTTAGCCGGGCATGGTGGTGCCCACCTGTAGTCCCAGCTACTTGGGAAGCTGAGGCAGAAAAATCACTTGAACCCTGGAGGCGGAGGTTGCAGTGATCTGAGATTGCGCCACTAAACTCCAGCCTGGGCGACAGAGCAACCTGCCACCATAGCTGGCTAATTTTTTGTATTTTTTGGTAGAGACAGGGTTTAGCCATGTTGCCCAGGTTGGTCTCTGAACTCCTGGTCTCAGGTGATCCACCTGCCTTGGCCTCCCAAAAGTGTTGGGATTACAGGCATGAGGCACTGCACCCATCCTTAAAATACACTGTTTTATTTCCTACCTCAAGACTGTTCTGAAATCTTCTTTCCCTCTCCCACTTCCCAACATTTGCTGGTAGAATAGCATTTGTACATAGACCAATAGAACAGAATAGAGCCCCAAAATAAACCTATGCATTTAGAGTCAATTGATTTTCAACAAAGGTGCAAAGAACACACAATGGGTAAAAGACAGTCTTTTTAATAAACGGTGTAGGGACAACTGGATATCCACATGCAGAACGAAATTAGACTCTCATCTCATACCATATACAAAAATCGAGGGCTGGGTGTTACGGCTTACACCTTTAATCCTAGCACTTTGAGAGACCGAGATGAGAGGATTGCTCAAGCCCAAAAGTTTGAGACAAGACTGGGAAACATAGGGAGACCCCCCCGTACCCCGTCTCTACTAAAAATAAAAAAATTAGCCGGGCGTGGTGACACACACCTGTGGACCCAGCTATTCAAGAGGCTGATGGGGGAGGATCACTTGAGCCCAGGACTTCGAGGCTACAGTGAGCCTTGATTGCACCACTGCACTCCAGCCTGGGCGACAGAGAAAGACCCTGTCTCAAATAAAAATCACTTCAAAATAGATTTAAGCCTTAAACACAAGACCTCAAACTAAAATTACTAGAAGAAGAAAATATAGGGGAAAAGCTACATGACTTGGTTCTCAGCAATGATTTTTTAAAATATGACCCCACATGTTCATTGCAGTGGTATTCACAACAGCCAAGATAGGGAATTAACCTAAGTGTCCATCAGTGGATGAACGGATAAAGAAAATGTGGTGGCCGGGCGTGGTGGTTAACGCCCGTAATCCCAGCACTTTGGGAGGTCGAGGAGGGCAGATCATGAGGTCAGGAGATCAAGACCATCCTGGCCAACATGGTGAAACCCATGTCTACTAAAAATACAAAAATTAGCTGGGTGTGTGGTGGCACATGTCCGTAATCCCAGCTACTCAGGAGGCTGAGGCAGGAGAATCGCTTTAACCTGGTGCGGGGAGGTTGTAGTGAGCTGAGATTGCGTCACTGCACTCCAGCCTGGTGGTGGCAGAGTGAGACTCCGTCTCAAAAAAAAAAAAAAACAAAGAAAGAAAATGTGGTTTATGACCAGGTACAGTGGCTCATGCCTGTAATCCCAGTACTTTGGGAGGCAGAGGCGGGCAGGTCACTTGAGGCCAGGAGTTCGAGACCAGCCTGGCCAGCATGGCGGAAACCCTGTGCCTACTAAAAATACAAAAATTAGCTGGACATGGTGGCACGCGTCTGTAGTCCCAGCTACTCGGGATACTGAGGAACAAGAAGTGCTTGAACCCAGGAGGTACAGGCTGCAGTGAGCTGGGACTATGTCACTGCACTCCAGCCTGGGCGCCAGAGCAAGGCTCTGTCTCAAAAAAAAACCAAAAAAGTGATTTTTATATATAATGGAATGCTATTCAGCTTTAAAGAAGAAGGAAATGCTGTCCAGGCGTGGTGGCTCATGCCTGTAATCCCAACATTTTGGGAAGCCAAGGTTGGCCGATCACCTGAGGTCGGGAGCTTGAGACCAGCCTGACCAACATGGAGAAACCCCGTCACTACTAAAAATACAAAATCAGCTGCATGTGGTGGCACATGCCTGTAGTCCAGGCTACTCGGGAGGCTGAGGCAGGAGAATTGCTTAAACCTGGGAGGCAGAGGTTGCAGTGAGCCGAGATTGCACCGCTGCACTCCAGCCTGGGTGACAAGAGCGAGGCTCTGTCTCAAAAAAAAAAAAGAAGGAAAGGCTGACATCTATGACAACATGGATGAACTGGGAGGACATTATGTTAAGAGAAATAAACAAGGCATAGAAAGACAAATCCTGCTTGATTTCTCTTAAATGTGTAATCTAAATAAGTTGAACTCATAGTAGTAGAGAGTAGAATGGTGGTTACTAGGGGCTGGGAGAGATGTTTGTCAAAGGATACAAAATTTCAGTTGGGAGGGATAAATTCAGGAGATCTATTGTAGGCCAGGCACGGTGACTCACACCTGTAATCCCAGCACTTTGGGAGGCCAAGGCAGGTGGATCACCTGAGGTCGAGAGTTTGAGATCAGCCTGACCAACATGGAGAAATCCCGTCTCTACTAAAAATATAAAATTGTTGGGCATGGTGGCACATGCCTGTAGTCCCAGCTACTCGGGAGGCTGAGGCAGGAGAATCACTTGAACTCGGGAGACAGAGTTTGCAATGAGCCAAGATCACGCCATTGCACTCCAGTCTGGGCAACAAGAGTGAAACTCCGTCTCAAAAAAAAACAAAAACAAAAACAAAAACAGAAGAGATCTATTGTATAACATGGGGACTGTAGCTACTATGAATATGTATTGTATTCTTGAAAATTGCCTAAAGAACATATTTTAAGCATTTCTAGCACAAAAATATGAGGTAATGCATATATTAATTAGCTTGACTTAGCCATTTCACAATGTATACATATTTTAAAACATCCTGGCTAGGTGCACAGTGGCTCACTCCTATAATCCCAGCACTTTGGGAGGCTGATGTGGGTGGATCACCTGAGGTTAGGAGTTTCAGACCATCCTGGCCAACGTGGCAAAACCCCGTCTCTATTGAAAATACAAAAATTAGCCAGGCGTGGTGGTGTGCATCTGTAATCCCAGCTACTTGGGAGTCTGAGGCAGGAGAATCGCTTGAACTCGGGAGGTGGAGGTTGCAGTGAGTTGAGACTGCGCCACTGCACTCCAGCCTGGGCGACAAGAGTGAAATTCTGTCTCAAAAAAAAAAAAAAAAAAAAGAAAACATCCTGTTGTACACAGTATGTATTTTTTTGTCAATTAATAAAAAATCAATAAATTTTAAAAAGAATAAAAGAATAATAGAGTGAAGCTATTTCCCATGGCTAGCTCCTCTTCTTCCTTTAGATTTCATTTTACATGTCACTTTCTTGGAGAGGCCTTACCAACCTAACTAAAGTAGTTCCCCAGGTTTTATTTTTTTCACTGGGTTCCTATGCCTCCCCCACCAGTCTAAGAACTCCATGAAGCCAGTATGTCTTGTGTTCAGTACATAGGGAAGACTCAATAGGTCTTTGTTGACTGAATGAAATGAAAGAAGTCCTTCAACATCCTGCCCCTCTGCTCCCTCAACCCCCAAAGCACCAGTACTTTGTCTTCTCTTCTCTTGGGATATAATGGAAGAGGAGTCTTCTACCAAGGCCGTTCTCTGCCACTTTCCTCAGGAAGCTCCTTGCCTCCTTGATTCATTCTCCTGTATACTCTTTTTTTTTTTTTTTTTTTTTGACATGCAGTCTCACTCTGTCGCCCAGGCTGGAGTGCAGTGGCCCAATCTCAGCTCACTGCAACCTCTGCCTCCCAGGTTCAAGCGATTCTCCTGCCTCAGCCTCCCAAGTAGCTGGGATTACAGCACAGGGCACCATGCCTGGCTAATTTTTTTTTTTGTATTTTTAGTACAGACAGTGTTTCACCATGTTGGTTAGGCTGGTCTTGAACTCCTGACCTCAGGTGATCTACCTGCCTCGGCCTCCCAAAGTGTTGGAATTACAGGCGTGAGCCACCAGGCACTGCCCTGTATACTCTTCACTAATCCTTTCCTATCAATATTCAAATAGGTTCTCCTTAAACAACCAACCAACCACAAATCCCAAAAATTTCTTCCTCTACCAGGCACATGACCGCCCTCTTGCCTTGACTTTCAGGACTCAGTTGTCCCCCGTATTCCTTTTATCTTAGTCTCCTTATCTGACTTTTTTTTTTTTGAGACACAGTATGTATTTGTTCTGTCGCCCAGGCTGGAGTGCAGTGGCACGATCTGGGCTCACTGTAACCTCCGCCTGGGATTACAGGCACACACCACCGTGCCTCGATACTTTCTTTGTATTTTTAGTAGAGACGGGGTTTTGCCATGTTGGCCAGGCTGGTCTCGAACTCCTGACCTCAGGTGATCCGCCCGCCTCGGCCTCCCAAAGTGGTGGGATTACAGGCGTGAGCCCCCGCGACTGGCCCTCTGGCTCTTTCTAAAGACTGAGATTTCCCAAGGTCCTGTTCTTTTAAACCCTCATTGAAAAGTGTTGGGATGGAGTCTGGGAAGGAAGAGCTGAGGAGTGGGGCTGGGTTAGGTGGGGAATAAAGAGAGGGGTATGAAAAGCCCGAGGTCTGGGTCAAGAAGATGGGCATGGGAGAAGGATTTGAGCTACTCTGACGTGTAGTGAGGAAGACAGCAGGGAGGCGCGTGCCCGGGAATGACAGCCCCATGCACAGCCGAGAAAGCAAGCGCGCGTGCGCTTAGCGGCCTCTCTGCGCCTGCGTCGTCCGTGCCAGTCTTTCGCAGGCAAAAGGAGGACATAGAAAAGGGGACACCGGAAGCTCACTCTTCACCCGGAAATGGTTATTGAAGAACATGGCGTTGCTGGTGCGAGTCCTTGTGAGTGAAGGAGTAATTTTCTACGGTAGCCCTCTGGGTCCCGGGTTGGAGTTCGACAAGGCAGGGCGTGAGGGATTGGAAGGAATTGCAGGAGGGGAGCCTGTGTTATAGCTAGGCTGCGTGGCCGCTTTTCCGTGGGGAAACTGAGGCAGCTTCCTACCTCTTCCTACCCTCGTTTTGACCTTAGCTCCCCTATCTTTCGAGGAGGGGAAGGGTGACATCTGGCCTTTATTTGATGGGGTTTGCTTTTCCTTCCGTCCCCCATGTAACTGCTTCCCCTCAGGGAGAGGAGTATGTAGGACACTGATTGGAGTTTCAGGAGACCTGGGTTCTAGTCCCGGACTGTCACTGATGCATAGGGTGACTTTAAGCATGTCACTTTTGGGCCTCATTGTCCCTATGTGAAAAACGAGGACATTTATCTCCTGCAGTCCCTTTAGATTCTGAGATTCTCAGTGTTTCTTTCATAGGTCATAAGTCAGTTCTTAACTGTACAGTTAGGTGGAATATAGATTATTAGATTGAAAGCTGCGTGAGAATTGGAGCCATGTCTGTCTCGGTCGTTTTCACTTTGCCTAGCATGGTGTCTGGCACATCATAGGTGCTAAATGATTACTTGTTGAATAAATGAATGAAGTAAGGAAAGACTATTAGACTCTTTAGCACCCGTGTATGAAACTACTGCACCTCTTGAGATTTAGTCCTGATCCTTCTAGCATACTCTTTCCTCTAGGAATTAAAAGAGAAAAGAAAGTGGCAGCAGAAAAAACGTTAGGATACAGAGCTTAGCTTTTAATCATGGAGGGATGGGAGGGTTTATAATTTTAGCGAGTCTTCAAATATTGGGTCAAAGACATAGATTTTCATAGTAGACATGGTCTATTTCTGCCTCTGGATATCTTTTGAATTGTTATTTTACATTTGTGTTTTTGATCTTTTTATATATGGCTTACAAGGACGGCAGTTTTACTTCTTGTGTTCCTTGCCAGCCTAGCAGAGTGAGGTACCCTGAATTGCTGTTCAGTAAATTTTTAATTGTAGAATCCCCCTGTAACTGCCAGAAAGATTCACCTGGTGAAGTGATTGTTTGATTTCAGGCCAGAAATTGATTCAGAAATGAGGACTGCTGGGGAAATGGCAATTAGTATGATCTGAATTTAGTGTTTTTTTTTTCTTCCCCTCCCACCCTTTAGTTGTTTTTTTTGAGACAGAGTCTTGCTCTGTCGCCGAAGCTGGAGTGCAGTGGTGCGATTTCGGCTCACTGCAACTTCCACTCCCAGGTTCAAGCGATTCTCCTGTGCTAGCCTCCCAAGTAGCTGGGATGACAGGCATGCACCACCACACCCAGCTAATTTTTTTTTTTTGAGACAGAGTCTTGCTCTGTCACCCAGGGTGGAGTTCAGTGGTGTGATCTCAGCTCACTGCGACCTCTGCCTCACAGGTTCAAGCGATTCTCCTGCCTCAGCCTCCTGAGTAGCTGGGATTACAGGCGTGTGCCACCAGGCCAGGCTAATTTTTGTATTTTTAGTAGAGACGGGGTTTCACCATGTTGGCCAGACTGGTCTTGAACACCTGACCTCATGATCCGCCTCCCTTGGCCTCTCAAAGTGCTGGGATTACAGGCATGAGCCACTGAGCCTGGCCTGATAACTAACATTTTATAGGGCACTTACTATGTGCTAAGCACTTTAAAATACTTCCCTAATCCTTATAACATCCCTTTGGAAAGGAGGGCATGTTATTTCCTCTATTTTACAGATAAGAAAATGGAACCACAGAGAAGTATTCCTGGCCAGGCTCGGTGGCTCACACCTGTAATCCCAGCACATTGGGAGGCTGGGGCAGGTGGATCACTTGAGGCCAGGAGTTCAAGACCAGCCTGGCCAACGTGGTGAAACCCTGTCTCTACTAAAAATACAAAAATTAGCCAGGCCTGTGGTGGGTGCCTGTAATCCCAGCTACTTGGGAGGCTGAGGCACGAGAATTGCTTCAACCCAGGAGGCAGAGGTTGCAGTGAGCTGAGATAGCGCCAGTGCACTCCAGCCTGGGTGAAAGAGTGAAACTCTGTCTCAAAAAAAAAAAGTATTCCTGAAACATTCTTGTTAGTCTTGCCTTATTTTTTCCTCTTTTTGTCTTGTCAGCCAATATTTTCCCTTCTCCAGTGATGGGTTTGGGAAGGAGGAGGAAACAAACACTGCTATTGTTGAGTGACTACAGCAGAGAGCCTGGGCATTTGATCAGTAGAACTGGACATACTTATGGTTTTTATGAGTTGTCCTGGGCATTGGTGATCGTTTTTGCTTTTCTTTGGAAATCGTAAAAATTACAGAAAGCCACCCTGTACTTTAGAAAATTTTTAAAAATTGTGGTAAAATACATATAACAAAATTTACTTTTTAAACTTTTTTTTTTTTTCTGAGATGGAGTTTTGCTCTTGTTGTCCAAGCTGGAGTGCAATGGCATGATCTAGGCTCACTGCAACCTCTGCCTTCCGGGTTCAAGTGATTCTCCTGCCTCAGCCTCCCGAGTAGCTGGGATTATAGGCCCGCACTTTTTAAGTATACATTTCTGTGGTATTGAGTGCATTTACACTATTGTGCCATCTTTACCACCCTTATCCACAGAATTCTTTTCATTTTGTAAAACTGAAACTCTGAACCTATTAATAGTTCTCTATAGTCTTTTCTCCCCAGCCCCTGGCAGCCACCGTTCTACTTTCTGTCTCTGTGAGTTTAACTACTCTGTGTACCTTATATAAGTGGAATCATACAGTATTTGACCTTTTGTGACTGGCTTATTTCATTTAGCGTAGTGCCCTCAAGGTTCATCCATGTTGTAGCATGTGTCAGAATTTTCTTTTTTTTTTGGAGATAGGGTCTCGCTCTATCATGCATGCTGAAGTGCAGTGGCTCAGTCATAGCTCACTGCAGCCTTGACCTCCTGGGTTCAAGTGATCCTCCCACCTCACCTCCTGAATAGCTGGGACCACAGGTGTGTGCCTGGCTAATTTTTTTTTTCTTTTTTGTAGATGGGATCTCCTTACGTTGCCTGGGCTGGTCTTGAACTCCTGGGCTCAAGCAATTCTGTTGCCTCAGCCTCCCAAAGTGCTGGGATTACAGGCGTGAGCCACTATGTCCACCCTGTTTAATTTGTTGAGGAATTGTTCTACTGTTTTCCACAGCAGATACACTGTTTTACATTCTCACCAGCAGTGCACAAGGGTTTCAGTTGCACCACATCCTTGCCAACACTTAGTATTTTCTGGTTTTTGTTTGTTTTTGAGACAGGGTCTTGATCTGTCACGCAGGCTAGAGTGCAGTGGTCCAGTGACAGCTTACTGCAGCCTCGACTTCTGGGCTCAAGTGATCCTCTCATCTTAGCCTCCCGAGTAGCTGGGACTACAGGTGTGTGCCACCATGCCCAGCTAATTTTTACATTTTTAGTAGACAGGAGGTTTTGCCGTGTTGCCCAGGCTGGTCTCAAATTCCTGAGCTCAAGTGATGCTCCTGCCTCTGCCTCTCAAAGTGTTAGGATTACAGGTGTGAGCCACCACACGTGGCCTTATTTTCTGTTTTTTTTTTTGACAATAGCCATTCTAATTATGAAGTGGTGTCTCATTGTAGTATTGATTTACATTTCTCTAGTGGCTAATGATATTGGGCACCTCTTCAGGTTTTTTTTCTTTTTGAGATGGAGTTTCGCTCTTGTTGCCCAGGCTGGAGTGCAATGGCGTGATCTCGGCTCACTGCAACCTCCGCCTCCGGAGTTCACATGATTCTCCTGCCTAAGCCTCCTGAGTAGCTGGGATTACAGGCCCACACCACCAGGCCCAGCTAATTTTGTATTTTTAGTAAAGACGGGGTTTCCCCATGTTGGTCAGGATGGTCTCAAACTCCCGACCTCAGGTGATCTGCCTGCCTCGGCCTCCCAAAGTGCTAGGATTAGAAGTGTGAGCCACCGTGCCCAGCCTTAAATTTTGTATTTTTAGTAGAGATGGGGTTTTGCCATGTTGGTCAGGCATGACCCACCGCATCTGGCAAGTTTTTTATGTATTTTGAATATCAGTCCCTCATCAGATATATGATTTGCATATATTTTTCCTATCCTATGGGTTGCTATTTCAGTCTGTTGATACTGTTATTTGATACACAAAAGTTTTTAATTTTCATGAAGTCCAACTTTTGTTTTTCTTTTTTCTTTTATTGCCTACTCTTTTTTTTTTTTTTTTTTTTTTAAACAGGGTCTTGACCTGTCACCTAGGCTAGAGTGCAGTGGCATAATCTAGACTCACTGCAGCCCCTGCCTCCCAGGTTCAAGCGATTCTCCCGCCTCAGCCTCCCGAGTAGCTGGGATTACAGGCATGCACCAGCACACCTGGTTAATTTTTATGTTTTTAATAGAGAGGGGTTTTTCCCATGTTGGCCAGGCTGGTCTCGAACTCCTGGCCTCAAGTGATCCGCCCACCTCAACCTCCCAGAGTGCTGGGATTACAGGCATGAGCCACCATGCCTGGCCCTAATATTGCCTACTTTTTTGATATCGTATCCAAGAAATCATTGCAAAATCCAATGTCATGAAGCCATTCCCGTAAGTTTTCTTTTAAAAGTTTTATTGTTTTAGGTCCTACATTTTGGTCTTTTATCCATTTTGAGCTAATTTGTGTACATGTTACAAGCTTTTACTATATTTTATGAGCTGTTTTCTTAGTGACCTGCCCTGGGATTACAATGAACATCTTAATTCATAACAGTCTTGTTTGGATTAATACCAACTTGATTTCAGTAATATGTAAAGACTTTCTTTCTATGTAGCTCTGTTCCTTCCCCCAGGTTGTGTTATTGGCATCTAAATTACATCTTTATCCATTATATGTCTACCAATGTAGATTTATAATTATTTCTTCTTGTAGTTGTCTTTTAAATTAAAAAGAAAAAGAAAAAAATTATGAACAGAAAATCCATTTATACCATATTTTTTATTTACGTAAACAGTTACTTTTA